GAGAGAGAGAGAGAGAGAGAGAGAGAGAGAGAGAGAGAGAGAGAGAGAGAGAGAGAGAGAGAGAGAGAAAGAGAGAGAGAGAGAGAGAGAGAGGCAACAGGAAACAGGGAACAGGGAAGGTGCGCGGAATTAGTATGTTAAAATTATCTAGTATATCTCTGGAACCGGATAATGCATGCAAAAGTGATACAATTGGTGTGACCAGGCATGAGTGACGTTTCAGGTTCGGAAGGCCCGGGGGTCGTGATCTTAGTAAGGCTCGAAGAAGTGCAATTCTACATTACACGAGCATTCATCACCAACAACCAGGCGCGAAGCGCCAGCGACCGAGTCGCTGTAGTAGAGGAAAGGGGGGGGGGGAGAGAGGGAGCCGACCCAGCCAGGAACTCAAGGGACACACACAGTCACGGATCAATGGCAGAGGGTGCGGCCTCTCCAGAACCAGATTTCTGGAAGTGCCGGCCGAGGCTTGAAACCTTGCTCAGAGAGCGAAACGTTGCTTCGCAGCAGTTGCATCACCTGAGGTCGTGAAATAGCAACGGGCTCGTGTCGTGGCATCAAGGCGGTCAATGACATCACGTTTGTGGTAGGTTTTTTGGCAATGGGTCGAGAAACTCACATCAGAGCAGAAACCATCATCTTACAGTTTGAGGAGATCTATGACAATGATATTGTACTGTTGCAGAATGATGGTTGCATTTGGAGTGTTTGGCATGTGGTGCCTGCTGCATGATGCGGCGCTGGAAATCCTCCTGGCCAGTGGCATGCTGGTAAACTTCAAATGTGGGGCGCTATGGTCACCGGTCTTGAAGGTCTGGCACGGATTTTGGAGATTGGAAGCAGGTGGCCATGCACTTGCTGGCGGATGCAGTGCCTGCCACATGATGCGGTGCTTGAAATCCTCCTGGCTACTGGCATGCTGCTAAGCTCAAAATGTGGGGCGCTATGGTCACCAGTGGTCTGGCGGGGATTTCCCTTTTCCCAGCGGTACCCCACCACAGTCAACCAGATGCTCACTCAGCCCTTGGTTGGGAACGAGTTTATTCTGGGGGAGGAGGGGTGTCCTTTTCATGGCAAAGGGTACCAGGGGTGTTTGGCGGACAACTGGTGGAGAAAGGGGTGTTTGCTTAAACATGTATGGAATAGGGAGGCGGCGTGCTGGCAAGGGGAGGAGAAGCTGGCACATCAGCTGTATAAGCAAGTTGCCAGGTGCCAGCGATTTTCATGCTTTGTGGGAGGCTATCCCAGCGAGTTAAAACTGCACTCCTCGAACAGGACCAGTGGCACGTTAGGGAGTGGGTGGGCACCCGGTTGCAACTGCGGGAGGTTTTTCAAGCGACCGAGAGTTTAGGGGAGCATCGGTACATGGCACTACGATGGCGGATATGACTACGGGACTACGCACGTTGGGGGCATGGCCCGCTAGTGGAATTGAAGGATAAGGGAATCTACTCGGTGGCAGTGCTCCACGAAAAAGGCCACGCTCGCCAGCTGGCCTTGCGCCGCTCCAACGTGGAAACACCACCGCAGGACCTGTGATTTGAACCGCGAAACTGGTGCTGTCCGCCACAGGGGAGTCCGTGTACGCTCAGACCATTTCACCACGTTACTACAGAGATCCTTTGTCTTGCACAGTTGCCACCTTCCAACATGTGTGCGGAGGTCCGGGAAGGTGGCGGAAGCGGGAACGGATAGCGGAGGAGGAATTTGGCACCTGGGACGAGCAAGTGTGGCAGGATCAACAACCGGACGGGCTTTGAACGGTGGGAGGATCCTAGGTAGGGTGTGCAGTGTGCACTATGGTTTGTGGATGGGAGGGTGGTAGGGTAGGGTAGGGGCTGTAGAGGGTACGGGGACGACGGCACGCTGTGGAGGAATGAAACATTTCGGCCAAAAAAGGTAGATATGAGTGCAGATGGGATGAGAAGGGGCAAACAAGGATAAACGGAGCGGACGGGAGCGGTCAAAACAAGAACAGAGAAGAAAAGCAAGCACCGAGCCGGAAAGAGATGAAGTACGCAGAGAAGGGGGTTTAGGGAATAAAGGATAATTAACGTTCCCACAAGAAAGCGCAGGCACAAGTTTGATTTACGGGAAAACAGCTTGTGTTGGACCAGTTATTGGAATCTGGAGCGGGTAGATGGTGGGTGACAAGGTGAGGATGAAGATACTTGGGATGAAAGAGGTGGGGGGAAGGAGGGATAAACGGGTAAGGGGGGCATTGAAGGATTGGGCCTCAAGCCTGCATTGACTACTAAAATGGCGCTGTAAGAAAGGGAGGAAAGGTAGAGGCGACTGGATACCAGAGGGAGTCTCCCGGCTACTACAATCTTGCCCGCTTGCTGTGTCATGGCGTCAAGGGAAGCCACTAGTGAGAGTGGCCCGCTCTTGAACTCTTCAAAATAATAAATGTCGTTATAACAATGCTTGCTGGTGACGAGTAACCGGACTGGCGCCCCCCAGTATATAAGGAACTGTGTGTGTGTTGTGTTTGAAAAGGAAAAAAAAGGCAACAGCTGGTGGGACTTGAGCAAGTGCTGACGGTCGCGTCTTGCGTCGCCAGGCAAGAGTCACGCCTAGCACAACCGTGGAGGTCGCATCCCACGTCACCTCACACCACTCGTGCCTACCATCACTGTTTACCACGTCTGGAGATCTTCGAGTCACCCAGCGTGGACAGCCGACCCGTGTCCACCTTGTGCTTGAATCACAGTCCTCCATTACAGTGGGCTTGAAAGAAGGAACTGTCACTGCTTCAATCACGGTCTTCCATCGTTGTATACTTGAAGGAAGGAAGTGCATATCCACATGGCTCCAAGGGAGTGTGCATCTAGATGGTTCCTCGAGGGCTTGTTCCACATCACCAAGGAAGTGCCATGCCACCAAAACGTCATGGAGAGCTCCGATGGGAACACAAAGTTCAACAAACAGCAAGAGGTGCATAACAGCAAGCACCATGATAATCATAAGCGAAGTCAAGGGGAGAACATCATGATTAAATCGGAGTTGTGCTGTGCCAAGGAGAACCGGGAGGGACACAGAGCGAGAGGAAGAGAGTTGTGTGCACCACACGTTTTATGCAAGGCACCAAGGGCGGAACGGCTTATGTAAGGCAGAGTTGAGCTATGTCTTGGAATGACTGGATGGGGACAGACAATCCAACATCGAAGGGAGAAGTCATAGGTACGTTACATCGGAAAAGAGTTGCACACGCAATGTTTTTTGGGAGGTGTGCAACACTGCAAAAACCATTGTTTCCCTTCTCCATGCGTAAGGGATCACACATGCAACCAGGCAACCTAAACCCCAAACCCCAAACCTTAGCAATTATCTAGACAGCTCTGGCAGCAGGAATGAAAAAGCAGCTGAGAGGTTTTAAAAAAGAGAACATAAATTGAAACTCAAGTACCATTAACGTAGAATATTCTTCCATGGGTTTTGCTCTTTTTTTTTTAGGGGAGTATGCTAATAGATGCAGGTATATATATCAGCTAGATCAGCCTACTCATTCATTCATTCATTAATCGAGCTTGGGAATTCTGCATTCCACGGATTTCGGTCCACTGGTCGGTCCAATGCAGTCCCGTACTTATCCTTGACTTCTGTCCCGAGACTCTCAATCTATCGTGTCGAGTTGCTCTGTGAGAAAAATCATATCCCCACTCAAAAACTTGATTAACAAGGTCAAACAGAGTTATTAGGGTTCCTTTTCTGTTTTCGTTTTCGGTTAACAAGCTAACAACTTCAACTTTATATCATCCACTAAAATGCTCCAATAAATACCTCAGTTGTCGAGTCCAGTGCGCTGGTGGCTTCATCGCAAATTAAGAGCCTAGGAGACTGCACAGCAGTAAAAAACAAGTACACCAAGTCGATCAAGAACACACTGCTTAGCACTATTCATCATTCACAAATGAAGTCGAACAAACTTTTTTGAGGTATGAAACAGAGCCCTTCAGTAAGGCAAACACAGAAATTTATCCCTCCTTGCAGCCTTGATCATGTACTCAATGCATGTACTCTTGGTCTAGCGGAAGGCTTTTAGGGACAACAAGGTGATGCCCGCCGCAGCTCCACGTGCGGCGGAGACCTGCCCTTCCTGCTCCCCCTCGCTGCTTACCTTTGCCTTCCACCTCCTCTCCGTCCTGCTCCTGTGCGTGCCCCCTCTTCGGCCATCTCCCCCTCTTCTGTGTGCTCGTTCCGCATGTCATTTTCCTCCCCCCTTGTGTACACTTCGATTCCGGCGGCGGCATGTGGGGCGGACCGCAATCCGTGGATGGGATGCTACTAACAGGCACACTCCCAACCCCACACCCACCGCCCGGGCGGACCGCAATCCGTGGATGGGATGCTACTAACAGACACACTCCCACCATGAAAAAGGGGGGTAAACAAGGACAGCCCCCCCCCCCCCCCCCCCCSCCCCCCCCCCCCCCCAGAAAAAAAAAAAGCACAGTCGACGGAGACTTCTGTGGGCCTGGCTCCACAACTCACCAAATGTGCAAAATGAGAATGAATCTTCCCCAAGAACCTGCGAAGATACGCCGCTGCGTTTTTTCTCTTTGGTGCATGTGGTGAGCAGCGGAGCGGGACATATGTTCTCGTTCCCTTCCTCGCTCCACTACTCTCGAATGTGCAAAATGAGAACGAATCTTCTGCTAGAAGATGGAAAGATACACCGCCATATTTTTCTTTTGCCCATGTGGTGGGCAGTTGAGCGAGGCCCCCCACTCACCATTTGTCTTTTCTGCATGCAGTAAGGCCCGCTGGCTGTGGCATGGCATCGCCTCTTCTCAGAAAAAGACAATAAAAAAAACAAATCTAGTAAATCTACTGAAAAGAAAAACCAACGAATCTACTTTTTTGTCTTGTTTGTGCGGGTCCGTGAGTAGGGGAGCAGGTCAAACGGATCTTCCGCTAGAACACGGAAAGATACAACGCCATATTTTTTGTCTTTTGTGCCTGTGGGTGGCATCACATCCCCCCCTTCAAATCTACTGAAAAAAAAAACAAACGAATCTAACGGGCGAATCTAAGTTGAGTTCAAATGAATCCTCTGCTAGAACATGGAAAGATACACCGCCATATTTTTTGTCTTTTGTGCCTGTGGTTAGGCTCGCTGGCTGTGGCATTGCATCGCCCCTTCAAATCTACTGAATTCTAACGGGTGAAACAACATTAAGTTCAAATGAATCTTCTGCTACACATGGACAGATACACAGCCATAAGTTTTGTCTTTGTGCCTGTGGTGAGGCCCCGTGGCTGTGGCATCGCATCGCCTCTTCAAATCCACTGAAAAAAACAACAACAACGAATCTAACGGGTAAATCTACTGGAAAGAAAGCAACAACTCCTCTCTCACTTCGCTACACAGTGTACTCGTATTCGAACGTTCGCGCGGCACCATGCGGATTGGAAACAGCAGGCCTTTCATTGGGCCCGCCCTTGATCCCTGCGGGGTTTTCCCAACACTGGCTGGCCGAGTCTCGCGTGGGAGAGACCCGCGTTTTCCTTTATAAGAGTATATGAGAAGAGATGTCACACATTGACTTGCCAAATGGCACTGCCGAAAAGAGGCCCGTCCGAGAGATGTCACACATTGACTTGCCGAATGTCACTCTGCTGAAAAGAGGCTCGTCTGAGGTGCTTCCACGAGATATTCACTCAATGGCTTTCAAAATCTCATGGCCAAACTTCCCACCAAAAGTCATACATGCCTTGCCCAAAAAAAGAAAGAAAGTTCTAAATAACTTAAAATAACTTTAAATAAGTTAATAATAACTAAACAACACAAGATACCATTGGCAATAAAATAAATAAAGATAGTCACTTACCCTCTCTATGCTGCAAGGGATGCTGCAAAGAATGCTGCAAGCAGCTTGTGATGATCAACAACCTCATTATCCTCTCTAGAAAGAGCTCTTCAGGATGGCTCTCATCCGTTGGATCTGCTGCGATAGAGTCTGCAAAATTGTGCAAATCTGTTTCTTTTTAACATCTTTTATGCAGTGCGCAGTTTTCCATTCGATCAAACCACCGGTACATAGCCCCTGACAACTTGAGAAAACGAGTGGCTGACTTGTGAAATTTCAGAGGCTCGGGGCTACCGGACAACAATGGCTAGCGGTGCCAGCGAAAAACGAAAAGAAGTGCGGCGCTGGCAGTTAACAATGGCTAGCAGTGCCAGCGAAAAACGAAAAGAAGTGCACCGCTGGCAGTTAGGCAAAGCTTTGCACGGAGTGCTAGTCCGCCACGCTCGGGTGTACCGGTGGTTTAAGACTAAAGGCTCTTATGGAAGTTATGGTCACTTTCTTGGGACTTACATGATGCCGGCATTTGCTTCACCATGGTAACCTGTCCTGCAGTGCTGGGAGTTTGCACAAGCAATGTCTTTCCTTTTCCTCTTTCTTTTTTTTTGTTTTCGAAAAAAAAAAAAAGAGGGCCTTCTGGTCCTATCTTCATTCTATTCTGGGGAGCGTCAGTACGGTTCCTTTTCGACTGACAATTTGCAATTCTACTGACGACTCCCATAAGGCAGAGGCAATCGCTTTAAATTCTTAATGATTCCCAGGGTTAACAACAGTTTCGGTCAAGACGATGATGCCTTCAATAATTGCCATTTGGTGTGTTTGGATTCTTACTATTTCGTAGTAATTTCGTAAATGAAGGCTCAGAAGAGCTCGAGGTGTCAGACCTGCTCATTCATAGCAGGCCGAAAAGCATGACAGCAATGAAGGAACATCAGAAACATCCCTCTGAAGTTCATCTCCACATGACCTCCCGACTACCGGTAGTTTTTTGAACATGAAGGAGCCTCTTAGAATGCTCATGTCGTTGACTTACTGGATAGGGTGATGTAGTACAAGGAATAGGCATACAGTATGCAGTATCGCCCACACAGTGCAGCGGAATCAACATATCATCGGGTGGCACTAACAGAGCAGAAATCACAGTGAAATGAACTTAGTGACAGTTAGTGTCCAAAATTCTGGTCTCACCCAATGTGTTGGCAGAGAACACCATAGCGTATAACATGTGAGGTTGTCAGTACTGTACAATCGAACTAAAACATTACGAAGTACTTTGTGACAGTTTTGTGTTAGATTTTCTGTGCTCAGCTCGTGTGACTGAATGCTATCCACATGTTCCCAATCCCTTTCCTTTTCTTCATTTTTGAACAGTTAAAATTTCAGGGTGACCTTAGTTCATACTACTCGGTATTATAATAGTAGAATAAAGCTAAACATCTTAAGAACACCCAGTGCGGCTACGCCCACACACTATTGCCAATACACACACACACACACACACACACACA